CCCCACCCCCGCCTTCTCCTAGGGTCGTTTTTCTGCACAAAAAGCAGTTTCTTGTTATGAAATTTGAAGTCCCGGGCACTCCCCGCTGGCTCCCTTTGCCCCACGGGGGATGCTCACGGTGGCGGCTTCCATCTCCGCTTCAGAATAGCCTGAAAAAAGATGCAAAGCATCAAAATGCAGCAAGGTGATGATGTGCAGCCATGCTGGGGGGAGCAAGCGGCAAAATGGGAAGGGCAAGGGGCAAAAGAGAGGTGGGCACAGATGGGATGGGGGTCTGGTGCAGCCAAACAGCACAGGGGAGCTCTTGGATGCGGAGGATGATGATGGTGAAGCCGATGATGGGGATGGCGGTGAAAATGGTGATGGTGGTGATGATGATGTTGACGGTGATGAGGATGGTGGTGGTGATGATGGTTTATTTCTCTCCTCCAGACCTACAACACCAACGCACAGGTACCTGACAGCGCAGGCACGGCCACCGCCTACCTCTGCGGCGTCAAAGCCAACGAGGGGACAGTGGGCGTCAGCGCCGGCGTCACCCGCGACCGCTGCAACACCACCAAGGGCCAGGAGGTGACCTCCATCCTCCGCTGGGCCAAGGATGAAGGTGAGGGAGCTGGTGGGTGCTGGGGAGGGGGGGTAAAGCAGTGGGTTTTGGGGCTGTTCTTGCCATTGTCCCCTGAATTTGTGGTGCAGGCAAGGCTGTGGGTATCGTCACCACCACGCGGGTGACCCACGCGACCCCCAGCGCCGCCTATGCTCACTCCGCCAACCGTGACTGGTACTCGGATGGGGAGATGCCCCCAGATGCGCTGGAGGGCGGCTGCAGGGACATCGCCCGGCAGCTGGTGGAGAACATCCCCGACATTGAGGTAGGGATGGGGATGGGGTCACCAGGGATGTGGGCCACCAGGGGCAGGAACATGACCACCCAGGGATGAGGACAGGGCCATGGGTAGGTGTGGGACCAGGACCACCAAAGGGTGCAGGGCTGGGACCCCCAGTAGATGTTGGGCAGGAACCACCAATGGGTGAAGAGCCAGGACCTCCAGTTGGGCTGGGACCCAGAGCAGATATGGGACCAGAACCACCAATGGGTGCAGGACAAGGATCCCCAGTAGATATGGGGTCAGGATGACCAATGGGTGTAGAGCCAAAACCTCAGCAGATTTGGGACCAGGACCACCCCATGGGTGCAGAGCCAGGATTCCCAGCAAATTTGGGACCAGGAACACCCATGGGTGCAGAGCCAAAACCCCAGAAGATTTGGGACCATGAGAACACCCATGGGTGGGGTCCCAGGACCATTGGGCAGACATGGGACCAGGACCCCCGTAGGGCTGGGAACCACCACCACACACAGCACCAGTCCCCCAAACCCCACTTACCCCCCCTTCGCCACAGCCCTCTCCTTTCTCATCCTTCCCAGACCCAAACCCTTCCATTTCCCCCCCGATTCTGCTCCTCGCTGCGGATTTACACAGAAATTCAGCCCTGTAAATAAATGCTCTGCTGTCCTTCAAAACAGCCCCAAAGCCAAACATCCCAGCCTGTCATTTTGCTCTTTAATAGCCGCTTCTTTGGCATTTTTTGCCTTTTAATATAATTTTAACTCTGTCCCAGGCTGGAAATAATTATATAGCGGGGAAAAGGCATTTTTTTCCCCCACTTTTTTTTTTCCCTTAATAATTTTGGCGGCGGTGTTTTGCAGCTTTATAATTCGCCTTCTGCATGGAGAAAGGAGGGGGGAATTCAAAAAATACAAAAAAAAGAAAGAAAAAGGAAAAAAATCTCTGCGTGGTTATAAATAACGGAGGCCAAATAAATAGGGCTCCAAAGCAAACAACGAGAGCTGCGGGATGGGGCTCCAGCCCGGCGGGTTCACCCGGGGACCCCGACGCCGAGCATCCCTCCCACAGATGTGAAAAAAAGGTTAAAAAAAGCCAGATTTGCTGCTGAAAATGGTTATTTTTGTCCCGGTTTTAATTAATAGGAAGAGATTCAGGGATATTTTGAGCGAGGTGAAATTCCTCGGGTGTTTTCTCCTGCTTTCTCGCGTGGCACCAGGGTTTTTCCTGGACATCCCGCACCGCCTCAGTGGAGTTTCCCCCCCCAAATTGGGGGGAAAAGAAATAAAAATAATTTAAAATTATTTTTT